TGTCCTCTCCTTTCATCCAGATATCTCTTTGAATTTGCCTGTACTTGGGTTACATCAGGTAATATCCTTTGTGTTGGTGCTTCTCTAGATTTTCCCAGATGTCCATACGGTTTCCTTTATTGACTTGTTTTACGAGTTTAATGTTTTCTGGTAGGGGAAAGTTATGTTTTTTTTGTATGGCGTGTGTTGCAACGTTTGATTTATAAGTTATTATTTCTGTGCTCGTCGTACCTTTGGATCAGTTTTTTTTTGGTTTACCCGACATAGAACTGATGAACTGCGGTCATTTCATATCTCACAGTTTTTATCACTATTCTTCAAACGGTAATACCAACGTTACTCCAGTCGATCAATTCCGTCAGCAAGAAAACTGTGTGCTCGTGAAACGATGAAGTCGATGATTGCCGTTTTCGCCTTGTCTTGATTAGCGGAGGCTTTACCAGCGAGAAACTTATCGAAGTACTTGCAAAAATGATGGACGATTGGTGAGAGGTCTGGTAAGTATGGTGGGTGAGGCAGAACTACGACGCTTCTCGAACGGTGATTTGTGGAATTGTGAATTTCTGGTAAATCCCATCGGTTTTTTCATAAATAGACTCTGCATTTTGACCCGGTTGCAGAAATTTAGAGTGAATCACATTAGCTGATGACTGAACTCAGCCTTGTTGATGGGTTTTCGCCATTGGGAAGTGCCTGAGCAAAGAAGAACATACCTCAAAATGTGACAATTCCTGTGGGTCGTTCAAACCACCAAGAACCGCATGGAAGCAGACCCTTAGCTCTTTCGTTATTCCACGCACCGTTTATGAAGGGTCAGTCCCCACCAGGGTCCTCGAATCCTCATTCTGGGTTATTGTAGGTCGACCACTCATCTTCGAGGATAAAATCTTTGGAACGAAATTTTGCAAATGAACGTCAAACAGTGCGTTCATCAACACTATCATTGTCAAATGCATGGTTAATTTTTCGGATACGTGACATTGAAACGGACAATTTTAACCTCAAGGTGAATTAGCAAAATGTCCACCCTAAGGTGAAATACACGACTGCAATCGATTTGTCCAAATATACCTGATGTTTTCCTTATGATTCACAAGTCATCTAGTAGATGAGTTGGAATGGAATGGAATGGAATGGAATGGAATGGAATGGAATGCAATGGAATGGAATGGAATGGAATGGAATGGAATGGAATGGAATGGAATGCAATGGAATGGAATGGAATGGAATGGAATGGAATGAAATGGAATGGAATGGAATGGAATGGAATGGAATGGAATGGAATGGAATGGAATGGAATGGAATGGAATGGAATAGAATAGAATAGAATAGAATAGAATAGAATAGAATAGAATAGAATAGAATAGAATAGAATAGAATAGAATAGAATAATTAAGATACGAAAAGAAAATGACTACAAACTGGAAACAAATGAAAAAGAATAAAATATCAAGTGAGTAGAAAAAACTAAAAATTAATCAGAAATTGAAACAGATATAAAACCAAGTTACTTCACGACGTTTCGATTGTACCATTTCTCCGAGAGATGACTATTTATGGGTCATTCCGTCAAACAATAGAAGTTCGAACAAATGGAAATATTGTCAAACAATCTCAAACAGAAAGGTTAATAAATATTAATTAGAATAACAATATTTTCACTTATCGAAGTTCTTCAATAATCTACACCACTGGATATAGAGATTGATTGCTTTTATGTATTTTCATCCATTAAAGAATCAAACGGACGTTGATTAGTTCAACATTCCGCTATACATGGAAGAACAGGTAGCAACTTTATGAAAAATATCATTTCTCAAATATGTTAATGGATTCACTATGATTCACAAGTCATCTAGTAGATGAGTTCCATAAACGAAAACCGTTGTTTTTTTTTCAATTTCAGTGCCCTGTATCCTAGAAATAAAGGAAATCAGAAAATATGTTCAAAACAAATCATCTCAGTTAGGAAATACCCTGTACTCTTTTTCGATGTTCTGAAGAAAATATATTGAATATGAATCTGTATAGTAAATATCAGTTTTTGAAAATAGAAGAGCGATTCCTTGCTTAATAAGATATCTTATGCCAGAGGAATTTGTTCTCTAAATTTTTCTCCGTGTACAAGTATTCGAAATGATCCATTCACTCCAGTTGAGAAGATAACTGTCTCAACGTCATGAATGTATGTATTTACTTCTCAATGGTTTCATCAGATTTTCGATCCCAAGAGTCCTTCCGCCACTGTGTTACACTAATTGTTAGTATGACTTTGCGGCAAACGAAGATCAACTATCTTGATTGCTACTCGTGAGATTTGTTTATTATAGCGTTTTCTAATTTCATAGTAACCACAGAGCGTATCTTAATGTCCGACCGTATATCCTAATAAGTGCTATTCATAAAAAGGGAAATTCGCCCCTGGGGTCTAAAGATACATGACACTGGAGAATAATGTAGAATTTAATTGGAACTTTGTATGAAATCTGTCTGAAAATAGAACGAGTGATGAATATCTCGATGTTGTGCTGTAACGAAAGTCGCATGTGTTGGTGTCTATGGCATTTCCTTTTGAGGAAACGATATTTCCATATTGGGAGAGCATATTATTAGTATAATGCATTATGTAGATTGGGAGGATGGGGACGGAAATTGTAAACAATGAATAACAGAGAAAGTTATTTACGATACATCATAAATGGAAAACTTGATTGGGATACCAACCTGAAAGCAAATCTAGAAATTCGTAAAAAAGTATAGAAGTACCAGGAATTGGTCAATGAAACGCAAAATATGCATTATTTCCTCAATTATATTGTATCGACTTCAAAGTAGCCCCTTTTCGAAATGATACATTCACACCAACAAACAATATTACTGGAGTTTTTCCCAACACCAAACCGTTATTTCAACACCCCGACACGTATTTGGTGTTGGGAAAAAACTCCAGTAATATTCATTACTACACCATAGGTTCCAAACAGTACATTACAATCACCAACAAACAACCCAATGCACTTCAGTAGTCGTTGTAAATTCTTTTATATAGGTACCATCAACTGAAAACGGGTGCCTTAAATTGGTAATTTGAGTTATGGGAAAATAAAAATGTCAATCGAAGCCATATCAGGTGAATACGATGGCTGTTTTCTGTTTGAATACCGCGGTAAACGAAAAAACTATCGACATCACATTTACTTTTGGTCGACTTCGATGACCTGCTGTCGCTTTCGGCCCAGTTGAAAGGAGCAATTTCGAAGTCTGTTGACTGGTTTGCACATCAAATTTGTGCGTTTCATACACATAAAATCGTTCAAAATTATACGAACTGATTCCCGATACGTTGAAATTTTAGCTACTGCTTTCTCTATCAGTCTTAAACTATTTTCTTTACTTTAGCGATGTTGAGTTCAATAATTATGGATGTTGACATGACCGATCAGAGCGAGGCAAATCTTCCACGACATTTAGATCGCTTTTAAATGCACTGTACCACTTATATGCATCTGTTTTTGATAGACTATTCACCGTTAGTCTAATGCAACATTTTTAGCGCTTCAGCACACGAAATTTAATTTGCATTGCAAAATTTAAGACAGATTGGATACTGTGAACAAACTAAATTAGGTATGATGCTCAAACTTCTCGTGGGTATAGATGAGAGTTTTGCCAACCTCAGCTATTTGACTTTCTTGACAAAAATTGTATATATCTGTAGTTTCAGTTTCTTCGCTCAATAGAAAATACATTTGTATTTTCTTATTGACCTTCTTTCACAAATTTTTGAACAGTGGATTTTCCAATTATAGCTCCAGCAATTCTAAGAAGTTTTCTCTCAGAAGAAAATGAAGTTAGTTTCCTCTTTCGTGAGGGTAGTATTCAACATGGAAAATCACTGCTCAAGGATCAGTATGCCTAATTGAAAAAATATGATTGAGATTAATTTTTCTGAAAGTTGCATACCAACTGCTAATAGTGGATTTCATTGATTCGGACTTCAATTCAAAAAACAAATAAAAATAGAATAGAATAGAATAGAATGCAATGGAATGGAGTGGAATGGAAGGGAACGGAACGGAACGGAACGGAAAAGAATAGAATAGAATAGAACAGGATAGAATAGAATAGAATAGAATAGAATAGAATAGAATGGAATGGAATGGAATGGAATGGAATGGAATGGAATGGAATGGAATGGAATGGAATGGAATGCAATGGAATGGAATGGAATGGAATGGAATGGAATGCAATGGAATGGAATGGAATGGAATGGAATAGAATAGAATAGAATAGAATAGAATAGAATAGAATAGAATAGAATAGAATAGAATAGAATAGAATAGAATAGAATAGAATAGAATAGAATAGAATAGAATAGAATAGAATAGAATAGAATAGAATAGAATAGAATAGAATAGAATAGAATAGAATAGAATAGAATAGAATAGAATAGAATAGAATAGAATAGAATAGAATAGAATAGAATAGAATAGAATAGAATAGAATAGAATAGAATAGAATAGAATAGAATAGAATAGAATAGAATAGAATAGAATAGAATAGAATAGAATAGAATAGAATAGAATAGAANATTCGATGTAATTCCACCTAACCTAACTCTGGCCATATAATTTCATGAATATAGGAATTTTTCCTTCTGGTTTAATTATGTGTTGCGGTCATGAGATTATTTTTCGTTTTCTTTTGCTATTTTCTTTTTCTTGTTAATATTTTATTATGTATTGGTGAAGCAAAACAACAAAAATTCATTTTTATCATGAGTCATTTTTATCATTATCATATAATCCATTTTTGTGGAATGTAACAAGAACCAACATTTATCTCAACTTTAATTTAATACCGCGAAATTTTTGTTTCTGCATCTGAATAACCTCAAATATTTTCTGTTTCATTCCTCAGGTGCTCTCAATCATATCATTCATTTCCTCACTTTTGTTACAAATCTGTGTACATTTTCAATTAAATTGTTTTTGTTTCAGATCCTGCAATGGGCTGACCAATTAAACAAGTGAACCAACAGGTAATTATATCATAATTCATGGCATTAATAACAATCATAATAATTTCTCTGTATGTGTAATTAATATCCCTCATAGCTATAAAGCGCTAATTGGGTTTGCTACTACCTCTTATTGTTGGAGTGTAATATTTCGAAAAGATTCCTACATAGTCAACGAATTGAGATTGTCGAATGATGTATGTGATTTTTCGGTTATTTCAGTAAAATTTCAATTATTCACTGGGATACTCAACTCATAAATCGAAATTACCAATTATTTGATAGTTGAGGTTTCTTATGATTCAGATTGTTAATAGGTCGGTAGCCAAGCGGTTCGGCGTGGGTGATTTGTTCACTCACTCGAATTGACTGCCGTGTTGGTCGGTGGTTCAAGCCCTAGTCTGAACGATCGATCTTCACTTGCTATCGTCCAACTCGTGTTAGGAATCACACGTTAAAAGGTAAGACCTCGTTATTCCTTAGCTCGCACAAGTTTCGACTTCTGAGGGTTGTCGTACGTAGGGGTGCGACAGCTGGTTAACGGAAAAACAGATTTTAAACAGATTTTTTTTTAATTACATCTATGGGTTGTTTCAAAAGTTTTTTCCGTTTTATGAGTCTAATCTGAACTACAGTATCTCAGTGGATACTCATCCAATTCAATCGAAATAAGTATCATGTATATATTTCCAATACCAATTGGAACAGCAAAAAATAATATGCCGACATAGGCGTCGGCATATTATTTTTCACTGGTAGTTTTTCAGTTACTCATTCTTACAATCATAGCAATTGATCACTCCATGAAAAAGTTATCTCAGCTGAATTTTTCCACCATGGGTAATTATAAAAAACTTCGAAATTTAAGGTAGTTGATTTCCGAGTCGAAAACTCTAAAATACAATGAAAACACAAATAATCACACCGAATTCTCGTCAAACATATATTTACAAAATAATAGAGGCCAATGAATTGCTAGAAAAATCAAAATTTTTCTTCGATATATTCGGATGAGGTGGAATCATCATCGGATTGAATAACGATCGGATTTATGGAACTTTGCACATAATATTTGTTCTCTTCTTTCATAACGTGGGCTACACAGTTCTTCCACACATCACTATAACCTACTTCATTCACCACTCGCCTTATATTGTCAAACACTACAGCATTCAAAGTCGGTGACTGATTTCCGCAAGCTTTCTTTCATTGTGGCCCAAACCATTTCAATTGGATTGAACACACAATAGTATGGAGGCAAACGTAATATAATATGACCACATGTTTCACACATCGAATCAATATACTCTTTTTTGAAATTACGTTTGTTTTATGGTTGCCAGTTATACCTTTTTCGTTGGAATCTTTTCGGGTATTTCCAAGTCTTGATCTCGCATGAAATCAACAATATCTGCTTTTTTGTGTTATTGTTTGGTACTGTAGTCAATTACCAAGAATGATACGAAGCGTTATCTATAACAATAACCTAGTTTGGAGGAATATTTGGAAGAAGCTGCTCACTGAATCAGGTTTCGAATAAAGCCGCAGTCATATCTTTGTGGTAATCAGCAGACGAATCTTTTATATTTTTGTCCGACAGAAGCAAAGCGTTAGGTACGAAACTACTTTCATTCCCGGCATGCAAAATTATAACACGTTTTCCCCTTGAAGAAGGTGAGATCTATATACTGACCAAATTGCAGAAGTTCCTATTCTGTATGAATATAGAAGAGTTATTGAGAGAAAATGTTCAAAATCGAAACAAATGTTGAATTTTGCTTTTTTTACACTGTTTGCAACAGTACATAAGTGATAGATATAGTAAACAGCCGTTGACTAGTATAGAAATTACATAATAATAATACAGGTTTTACATCTTTATCACAGCATGAAATAGGATTGCAAAATCATTCCTTTTTGGAATTGAATATTCTGAATGATCTTCACTCAATTAGCACTGAATCAAGTTATTATATTGTTAAGTATTGGCTAATATTTGGTGATGAAGTAGCTGAAAGCTGTTGATATTGTAAGTATTCGATGTTAATTTACTTGATGAGTTGAATAAGGATATCTACGACTGGTTGCAATTTTGAAATTATAAAATAATCAGTGATTTAATCAACGACATTGGAAGTAGTCAAGGTTTTCTTTACCAGATGTTATAAAAAAATCGCCATTTGATCGGTTTCACAAATTCTGTAAATAAAATTCTATGGCGAATGGTATTCATGAATTTTTTTTTCGTGGCCCGAAGAACTTACTTGCTATTCAATTCAATTTTGTTGTGGATTAACAAAATAACATTTCAAAAAACCATTGTTTTCCATCAGATATCGTCTGCGAGTGTGAATAAACTGTTTTCAAATAAGGCATTACCTACTCATAAAAAACAATTTTTTATCTATTTAGAATACTTTCACCTTTTTCCATATGTATATCAGAAATACCATGAGGATCGTTTCAAAAAAAACAAGAGTAAAAACAATAGCTCTTCCACACCTTCCAAATAGTTGAATATCGTGAATGATTCACTAAAATTTTCTCAAATTTTTCGAGCAGTTGACACTGTCAAAAACAAATACATTCAGTTTGATTCGATGTAATTCCACCTAACCTAACTCTGGCCATATAATTTCATGAATATAGGAATTTTTCCTTCTGGTTTAATTATGTGTTGCGGTCATGAGATTATTTTTCGTTTTCTTTTGCTATTTTCTTTTTCTTGTTAATATTTTATTATGTGGTAGTAGGTTTTTGTGGATATCAA